TGTGCGTCCCAGACAAAATGCGGAGCAAGCAGCGGATTAGCTAGCAAATCAAGGGCCCAGTCCCCAGAGGCAGCGCGTGGGTCTCATATACTCGTTGTTCTTTCTTATAAGGAACGGTGATGTCGTGTTTTACAAACTAATTCACAACATATATCATACAAAATGTGAGATTAATTAATGACATACCGGCGTCACCTGAGCCGTTGCGTGTTCCCAAGCTTTGCGCAGCTCAATGTCATTTTTAAAAGTGACTCGGCTCTCCCCTCTCGATATGCGGCCAATAAGCGCAAGGAGCCCGTCAATGTGTGACTTGTTGAGGGCGGCATTGAGTGCGATCTCCGCAAACTCGAAGTCACCACGGGAACAGAAAGGACGCCAGGGCTCTTCATCTACGGGAAGCTCTTCCTCAGGGCGTATTGACGCCAAACTCCTCAAATGTTTGAAGGAGCGGTTCACGACGAGCAGAAGGATGATAGACCGTTTTGAATTCAATGGGTTGTGGAGGAGGTATTGCAGGTTGCGGTTCAACAGAACCTCGCTGGCTGTTGGCTATGCAAAAGAATCAGTAAGCGATACAGGTGAATATGGTGCACGCTTACCTAGGCTACCAGCACCTTCGAAGTTGCCCATCGTAAGCTTCGAAATCACCAGTGTTTGGGTTATCTGCTGGCAACACAGAGTCAGCTAGTGTCAGTTGCATTGTAGGGACACGCAAAGAATATGCGAGACATACCTAGAGGACCATGATCTTTTGATCGCAGGGGGCACGTTCTGATCCCAGCGACTGATTGCGATGGGCCAGCGCTGGGCGTTATCATGCCCATGTCAGTGTAAGCCTGCTGCCGAGCTGCATACCTCAATATTGTCAAAGGAAACCATCAAGAATGGGTAGCAGAGGACTCACCTCTCCTCTGATCTCGTGCATATTGAAGGGCAAACTCTGCTCGTTCCGCCTTGGTGTCCTTCTGCTTCTTGCAGCTTGCTTCGTGCTTCTTGAAGCCTTGGGTCTTGAACTTCTTGCTACAATGCGGGCATGAAAGCTGCCCTGTCAGAGTTTCTTCTGAGAAGTTGTATTGCTTCGATGAGTGCGAGAGGGACCCATGCTGATAGCGACGATGCGATACTGTACAATCGATGAACATTATTGTTTATCGATATCATTTCATAAGACAATCTCACGCTTGTGATGACCCTCAGCCGCCCTTGAAAGGCACTTGTAATGTACCTTTTAATGCACATGACCCAAGTCGTAAGCCGGCAGCAATTACAATGGCATGTAACTTTTTTTCCGACAGAATGCAAACTTGAACTCTGTCATACTGCTAATACTTATCGAGGGCATTGCGTGCGCCTTGCAGAATAAATAAGCCGTGAACTAGCATTGTCTTGTGTCAGTCTGCCTGCACTATCAAGACTTGACCCAGTAAGTTTGTCACATTCACAGCAATGCTAATACTTATTGAGGGCATCGCATGTGCCTTGCAGAATAAATAAGTCATGGACTAGCATTGTCTTGTGTCAGTCTGCCTGCACTATCAAGCCTTGTGTTCTGCACCCAGTAAGTTCGTCACATCCACAGCAAGTTCATACTACTAATATTTGTCTTGTGCAGTCTTCCTGCACTAATCTTGTGTTCCAGGTCCAGCAAGTCCGTCGCATTCAAAGTGAATTAACCCACCCAGTATGGCTGCCATCGGTAGTGGCACGAATGGGGTGTTACCATTCTCTGGAGTTGACAGTATGGATGACCCACCCAGTATGGCTGGCATCAGTAGTGGCATGAACGAGGCATTACCATTCTCTGGTGTCGACAGCACAGCATGGCTGGCATCGGTAGTGGCATGAACGAGGCGTTACCATTCTCTGGAGTCGACAGTATGGCTGGAATCAGTAGTGGCATGAACGAGGTGTTACCATTCTCTGGAGTCAACAGTATGGAGGGGGAAGCAGGTTCCAACGTGTCAGTCATGGGCTAGTGTTATCTTGCGCAGTCTTCCTGCACTAATCTTGTGTTCCAGGTCCAGCAAATCCGTCGCATTCACAGCATATTAACTGGCCCAGTATGGCTGGTATCGGTAGTGGCACAAACTAGGCACTACCATTCTCTGGAGTCAACAGTATCAATGGGGAAGTGGGTTCCAACGTGTCTTCGTCTAATGTGTGAGTCATGGACTAGTGTTGTCTTGTGCAGTTTTCCTGCACCATCTAATCTTGTGTTCCAGGTACTTGGGGATCATCTCATTCTTACCACTTCTCAACCATATGCTCTTTCATGTTATCGTTCCATCTGTTAGTGTTGCCATCAACGTACAGCTTCCGTCAATACACCCAGTATGGCTGGCATTTAGTAGTGGCGTGAACGAGGCATTACACCATTCTCTAGAGTCGACAGTATCGATGGGAAAGTGGGTCCCAACACATCTTCATCTAACGCGTCTCCAAATACCAATAGTGTCCTTTCACTCGAGCAGTGTTAGCCTGAGAGGACCTGGATGAGTGCTAATAGGACAAAAAATCACGAGCTACAGTAAATACATAGGACAGACAAATTGATGTATGCTAAGTTCATTTTGGATACATGTGTACTTCACCCTTGTCAATTGCAGCACGAAGAAGTACTTCTCCAATGGTGAGCGAAGTAATGGTGTAAACCACATCAGAATAGCCTTTGATGTTCTCTGTGACTTCTTCCCTAGATACAACTGCTCAGTGAGTGTATGCGATGTCGGACAGAATCAACTCACCAGTGATTGAAAACACCAATGTATCGTCCATGAGTGACACAGTAATAGGGTCCAGATTTGCCAGGCACTGCAGGCATGTTGTAGAGGATACCACAGTACAGGTATACAAAGTAATCATAAGTGATTGCACCGACAAGTTCCTTGTGTAAAGCTTCGTCCCATTTGACCCACCTCACATCTGCATCTGCCTCTCCAATAAAGTAGGGTGTGACGGTGAGCAGTAAAGTTTCAGGTAACTGAAAAAGTGCCCCAGTAAGACTCGTCAGTGGCGGATGAGGTGACTGTGGGGGTGTTGGTGCGATAACGGATGAACCAAGGGTTGACAGTGAAGTGGACGCAATAGATAGTGCAGGACGACCTGGTGAGCAATCAGTTTCCGCAGAGGTGTTAGGAGAACTACTCACACTGTACATGAGGCCTGGGCTGCACTCCTGGACCAACCAGCATCGAGCATTTCTGACCGTCTTCAGTATCTTGAATGACAATCGGGGCTGTACTCAATGAGGTTTAATGAAAATGCCTGGGGTCACACAGAACCATACAAAAGTGGCACGGACAGCATCCAGGATCACTGGAAGATGGCGGAGATCCTCCTGAGCGTTGCACAAGACTTGAGCCTGGAGACTCAGACATCAGAGTAAATGTGAGGAAAGACACAGTGAGGGAATACTAACCAGCAGGCTTATTTATAAGGCAGCGCAATGAGTGTGTAATGCATTACTTGATTACTAATACTATCACCGACACATCACACTCAGGTTTGTATGGTCACCATAACCATTTGGCCTCAAGCTTTTTGATAGTACCTCTGTAAGTATGTATATACCATGTACTGTGTAATCTTACATCAAATCTTAGCAAGTATGGTCCCTGGTAATGACCCAGAGGCCGCTCGCACTGTCCATCTGCTTCCCCAACATCTCTCATTCAAAATGTCAACCGTCGGAAGCAAGTCAAGCTTAATGTATACACCCTGCCCAACCCCAATGCCCCAAGTGTTCACCAAGCATACACATTTGTGTCACACAGTCAAGGCTTCCAGGCACGCGGTTCTCATGTTATCAGCTCTCAGACTGAACCTCAGGTTGAAACTGAAGTTAACACAACGATCGGTGAAGATTGCAATCAGCATTTTGATTATGATCATGATATATACGATGTTTGCGATATGGAGCATGTGTCACGAATTCCAAACACAAACCATTATTCTTTCTTGAATACTCGTGAAACCTGCAAAGACATTCGTAAGACACCCGTTAAGCGCCTGTCACAAGCACCTGTCGTTAGCGCTCAGTCAGCGTCTGTACCGATAACCTTCACAAACCCTAACCCGAATTCATCCTTTACATTTCCGAACTTCTCTATTCCATTAGCGCCCACTACCTTTATCTCCGACATCCCTGATTTCGACTTCCTTTCACAAGCGATTAAGTCACGTGACTCTAGAACCTTCGAGAACCCTTGCACAGCTGTTACACGTTTCATGACATCATAGGTGTAGTTATATTTAGATCATTGTACGATTCCCTTTTCTATTTAATGATTGGCTAGTTAGTTCAGATTCAGATTCAGTCTCCGCCTCAATATATGTATATAGGTAGCTCATTGTAGTCAGTAGTTCTTTAGTTCAAACCTCTTTTGTATTAGCTTACTGCTAGCAATCCTAAGACGTACCTGCTATCCTTTATCTTCTTGTCGTGTGATACCTTTGTTTGAGTTCTAGTCTCTGCCCCTGCGTTAATTCGTTATAAGGGTTGTGACATTAGGTTTGAACTATAGGGGACTCCGGCTCTACGCATTACCGCTTGCACACTTTATCCTTTGAAACTTTGTTCAGCCAAGCTTAGGCTCGATAAACATTCAAACAATCTGTTATCAACTTTTCACGTGTTCTTTAATTCTTGACTTCTATAATCATAGAGTCAACAATTAAACAACAAAACCATCTTATATTGCCCAGTCTAAACAACCGTGACCCTTGATTCTATCATTCTCCCCTTTGCTCATTTGAGTGCATTCATACCTATCCATTTTCGTAGTTAGTAGTCCTATACCAGGCCCTGCCTTACATTGCAGCCGCCAGTATACGGAGGTGTTCACGACATTAGGCGTGTCACTGCAACTTTGAGTGCTGGCCCAAGACCCTGCCTGCTCAACATTACTATAACTTTCTTTTTACCTATCACCTTTTCTTCGTACGATACGTAGGCTACTCTACCCGAGTTTAGAAGAGTTGTCTAGCGATAAGTCCTATGCACAGATCCTACCGAGGATTTAGAAACGCATCTAGTCGAGAACTGTCGCTTGTAAGCTTCGGCTGGAAGAGCGGACGTGTCCTTCTAGTGTGTTCCCTTGGGAAGTGTTGGCAAAGGCACCTAGTTTCTCTCACTTGGCGAGTATAGTTGTTACGTACACAATCTTTGTAGTTAGTATCTAGGGAAGAGTCAGTTGGGTTTTACCAGGACCCTTTGACCCTGAAGTACGAGGTAGATCCGATCAGATATTGGGGACCGCTTCAGTTTTCCATTTACATACTCCTTTTCTCACCTTCCATTTTCACCATCATTCCCTTCCGGATGAGCCATTACGACTAGCTCATCAAATTCATCATTCCTTTTCGGGTAGACCGTTACAACCAGTCTACCACCAGTCATTTGTGAATCGGGTTCCAGAATACAGCTGGCACAATGACAAAAAGAACGTATTCCTTACAAGAGTTCAATGCAATGGGAGAAGCACTCAACGGAGAACCTTTTGTATGTTACCGTTGTGGAAAGCCAAACCATATTGCAAGAAATTGCAGAACTCCGTCTCCACAGAGAGAGACAAAAGAACGAACTCATAACATTCCCGCGAAAGAAGACGCCCTTCCAAGTTGGTTTATAGAATCCTTAACTCACGGAGAAGTAAGAGGAGAAGCACCCAAATGGTTCAAGGATTTGGCCGCTACACCACAAGGCAAAGAATTTTTGGCAAAAGAAAAGGCCGAAAGAAATCAACCGCTGAAATGGTTTAGAGATTGGGTAGCCACTAGGAAAGAAGAGATCCTAGAAGAACCAGTAGAAGAAGACGTGTCTGGAAGCAGATATTCAATTCTATCAAACTTTGCGGACGTTAGAGCCCTTGTGGATTGTGGGGCGTCTACTTTATTTATCAATAGGAAGTTCATGTTGGACAATGATGTTCGGTGTCGTAAATTATTAAAACCTATTCCGGTTAAGAACATAGATGGTTCTTTAAACGCTGCTGGATCAATGACTCATTTTGCTGAACTAGGTCTAAAGATTGGTGACCATGTAGAAGACAAAGCAGCCTTCATGGTTACAGACTTGGGAAGCGATGATGTTATTATCGGCATTGACTGGTTAAGATATCATAATCCAGAAATAGACTGGAATGCAGGACAGTTTTCGTTATCTAGGTGTCCGCTTAAATGTATTATGAAAAAGGAACAAAGACAAAAAAAATAGAGAAAACAGAAAAGCACAAAAACAGGCAGATGTGATTCCGGATCTGATTCCCACAGAAGAGGATGACGATGAAGACATGAATACGAGGAAGGCAACCTGTGAAGAGGTAGAAGACGAGGAAAGTCCTGAAAGATGGATTAGATATAAAGCCTCGGTTGCCACGGAGCAGAAGGTAGCAGAAGAAGCTACAAAGAAGAAGAAGTCTGTAGAAGAGATGGTTCCAGACTGGCTTCACGATTACTTGGGAGTGTTCTCAGAAGAAGAGTCCAAACGATTCCCTGAGAGAAAGAAATGGGATCATGCTGTGGATCTTAAGGATGACAATGATCTTCCTCCGAATGTGAAACCTTATCCCTTGTCACTGAAGGAGATGGACACCTTGAAAGATTGGTTAAAAACCGAGACTGCACTAGGACGTATTAGAGACTCACAATCTCCAGTTGCAGCACCTTTCTTCTTTGTGGCCAAAAAAGATGGCAAACTTAGACCTGTAATGGACTATAGAAGGCTTAATGAGAAGACGGTTAAAAATGCATATCCGCTACCGAGATCTCAAGACCTGATCGATGCCCTTACCGGTGCTACAATGTACTCCAAGATGGATGTACGATAGGGGTATAATAATATTCGAATGAAAGAAGGAGATGAATGGAAGGCAGCTTTCAAAACGCCTTTTGGTCAGCACAAACCAACCGTAATGTATTTGGGTTGATGAACTCTCCAGCAACTTTCCAGACCATGATGAATGAGATATTCAGAGATTTAATAGACGGCAAAACAGTGGTCGTTTATATCGATGACATCTTGGTCTTTACAAATGGAAACAGAGAGCAACACCAGAAAGTCATATGAGAGGTACTCAAACGATTAAAAGAGAACGACCTGTACTTGAAGCCTGAGAAATGTAGCTTCGAACAGTCTAAAGTCGAGTTCCTTGGGTTGATTGTGGAAAAGGGCAGTGTGTCTATGGATCCCGTCAAGGTAGAAGGAGTATTAAAATGGCCTGTTCCCAAATGCGTAAAAGATATACAAGCATTCATGGGCTTTGCCAACTTCTATCGAAGATTTTATACTTGGGTTTTCAGACATTGCCAGACCAATGAATGATTGCTGAGAAAAGATGCCAAATGGGATTGGACAGAGAGACAGCAAAACACCTTCGATGAGTTAAAGAAGCGTTTTACAGAAGCTCCCGTCTTAGTAATGCCAGACGTTGAGAAGAAAATGAAAATAGAAACCGATGCTTCCGATTACGCAACAGGAGCAGTTCTATCTCAACTGATGGAAGATGATCTATGGCACCCAGTGGCTTATTACTCGAAGTCGATGAACGATGCAGAAAGAAATTATGACATCCATGACAAAGAGTTATTAGCAATCATTCGTGCGTTGGAAGAGTGGAGGCACTATGTGCAGGGAAAACCCCAACATGTGGAGATCTGGACAGATCACAAGAATCTCGAGTATTTCATGACGAGTCAGAAGTTGACAAGAAGGCAAGCCAGATGGAGTTTGTTCCTGGTGGAGTATGAATTTACGCTCCAACATAAGCCTGGTGTAGTCAATGACAAAGCTGACCGTCTATCTCGGAGAGAAGACCACAGAGGGGGGGTAGAAAACGATAATTCTGACCGCATTTTGTTGAAACCGGAATTTTTCAAAGTCAATGCTGCTAAACGAGGCCAAATTCTCATAGAAGGAGAAAGTTCGCTCATGAAGAAGATAAGAAAGAGCACAGAACGAGAGCCCGAGTAATGAAAGCGCTAGAAACACTAAAAGCAGCACCAGTACAATTGCGCAGAGGAATCGAAGAATGGAACGTTGAGGACAGATTGGTGTTATTCCGAGGACTGGTATATGTTCCAAATGATAAAGAGATCCACCAAGAAATATTGGAGTTGTTTCACGATTCTCCACCGGCTGGACATCCTGGACGTGCCAAAACCTTAGAATTGATTTCCAGAAACTATTGGTGGCCTTCAAT